GGAGTCTTTCTTCACAGAGTACATAATTATTTTAGAAAATTCATTGTGACAATTAAGTGTAGCAATGGCTAGCTTAAGTGGCTTTATAAGAAGTCTAGATAAAATTCACAGCAGTAAGATGAACCTTGTCAATCCTTATTAGTCACAGTAGTTAAATGGAACCTCTTTATAACACAGAATGCCTCCTTCCTGATATGAAAGAGAAACATGTTGCGTACAGCAAAAGCTCTATTGCCATGATCATTTATAACATCTGTATAAGTATTTGTCAGTCTCTTGTGGCAAACAGACTGTGTCTGGATCAGACTTATTTAGGGCCTTTTTATATTCTAAAGATGTTATGCCATAATGAAATGCAAAATCTTTTTTAAGAAAAAATCACAAACACCTATATCTTGCACAATTTGTGATTACTGTATAAGGAGCAAATTTTACTGTGACATAAACCACATGATGTTGGGATACAAGTAACAAAGGCTGGAGTTTGTGTTGTCAGGCATATTTTGCCTTTTTTTTTTTTTTATCATTGTGGTTTGAACCAGATGCCTAGAGTTAATGATCTTAAGCATTAATTGCACAGGGAAAGCCAAAAGGTCTTTCAGAACCAATTACCAAGGACTACCATTTGCTGCCTAAAATCAGAAAGGATCAGAGCCATTGTATAAAAGTGTTGCATTCCACATCATTCATTCTTCTTCATATTTCTCCCAATTCCTGCTATAGATACCAATCACCAGAGACAGGGGTTCATGTGAGGCAATCATTAAAAGACATTATTGATAGGTCTTCATGAGTAATCTGCAAGCATTGATCCAACATTTATTCCATACTTACTTTATTTAATATAAAAGGTGTGTGACTATGAAAAGATAGTCCTAGATGTTAAATAGCAGTGATTGGCCATGCAGTGTTGAAATGCCAAAACAGAGACTATCATTAATAGAATTTGACATGACCAGGTTTGAGTTGTAACAGAAAAATAGCAATGACATTATTAATTCACACTTGCAATGTTTTGTGCTAGGATCAATTTTGGGTTTAATCAAGTTAAAAACTGCAAGCTTATATCTCATAACAGAAAGGTTATGGCTGTGCAGCACCTTGGACTGAAAGGAAAAATGATGGTTCAGAGCACCGGGACACTCATACATCACTTGCCTGCAGCTCTTTAAAGCAGTTGTGTCTTTTCCCAGCTGTCCTTTTCAGTTGCAGTATGATCCTAGAAAATGATGTGTGTAGTTAAGGAGATATACACAGATATACACATATTTTCACAGCCCTAATAAAGATCTGAATGGCAGCCGGTTAGTGTCAAATCCTTTTCACAGCCTTCTAAGCATCAGATGGAGAGCCAGTTTGGTGTAGTGGATAAGGCACCAGGCTAGAAACCAGGAGACTATGAGTTCTAGTCCTGCCTTAAGCACACAGCCAGCTGAGTGAGTTGGGTCAGTCACTTTCTCTCAGCCCCAGGAAAAGGCAATGGCAAATCACTTCTGAGAATCTTGCCAGTAGAACTGCAGGGACTTGTCTAGGAATCAAGATTGACTTAAAGGCACACATATGCAAAAATACATCAGACTACATTTGAAGTGAACCACATCGTTTCTCCTTTGGATGCCCCATGAAAAATGAAGTTCCCATTCTAGCACTGTGGACTGTGGGAGAAAAACTTCTATAGTATTAAATTGGGGTTTTTTTCCAATGCTCTGGAGACAAGCCAGATCAAGGCTACAGTGTAGGGCAAAAAATTAAAGCTTCTTTGTCCCCCATTCTTACTAATACCAGTCTGGATCAGGTTCCCATGCGGGTAATTTCATTCAGGGTGAAATGCTTGCATTCAGGGTGAACTATATAATTAATATGTGTTGTTTAGCCCTAAGCTAGTAGCCATTACCACACCACTTTCTATTAATTAATATGAGGCATTTGGAGGTATTTCCTGTGATAGTCCCAGTTAATTTGCTTCTTGGAAGGGGCATCCTTGTTTACTGATATCATCAAAAACTTAAGAAGATAGGACAAATGGGTCCTCTATTTCAATACTCAATATTCTGCTTCTCTACATTTGTTATTAGTAGTTAATTCCACCTTTCGGTTGGACAAAAGGCTGGTTTATTCTATGAGTCACATTCTTACTCTGTTCAAGTAAATCTGAAGCAAAGGATTAACCAAAGCCTGACAGGGTTGCTATCAAAAACCCAGCCAGTGTTATCAGCCTAAGTGAGTCATGTACACATATATAAAATCCTAATGTGCTTTTAAATAGGAAGCTATAAATGGAAATGAATGGGAAATGAGGCTAAGAATATACTATTTGGAAAAGGACATAGGCAAGATTTGAAAAGATAATTACAGACAGGCATAACAAAAAGGACTATTCAACTTGGAAAGAGTTGAATAATTGTGCACTAATTAAAAATAATTCTTCATTCTTTCTCAGAAGAAAAAGAATAGAAACCTGATTTCAGATTAAAAATTAATCCTGATGGCTGAAACATTTTTTTTACCTGTTAAATTAAATAATTTACTTTTGCGAAAAGGATATACATACTAACTAGTAATCTAAGGTTCATATCCGCTTAGGAATCAGTAAATAAGGCTATACTGTTTTACCTATATGTGCCATCTGGGCTGGTACAAAATTGCTTGGGTCAAAACTAGGTCAGAACTAAGAATTACGTTCATGTATGATAGGTGCTAAAAACACCTATCTCCTAATCTCCTAATCCAGACTCATCTAATAATCCAAAATGTGTGAGGTAAACTATTATGTTGATAGTTTCCACCCCTGTTCACCTCTTCATAAACTGCAGATGTCAGACTTTAACATACTCCTTAAGAAATCTCCCTTACCTCCTACATCTTCATAGAAGGTTTCATAGAAATATAGAACAGAGGTTATCTATCCATCTCTTTGCTCGATGAGTTCTGTGATAGAGAATGTGCTATAACATCCTAACGGATTAGAATGTGTTATGTTATGTTATGTTATGTTATGTTATGTTATGTTATGTTATGTTATGTTATGTTATGTTATGCTATGCTATGCTATGTTATTATTACCAAGTTTATATGGCACTCCAACACCAATTTAAATTGAGTAGCTTATGACCTAAGTCAGTGCTGAACTGCCCTTGCCATTAGATGGGTTTCTCTGTGTTTCCAGTCATTGGTTGTACCTTCCATAACAGCAGATTCTAACTTTGTGAAAGCGGCTTCCTTTTATAAATACAGAATATCTGAGAAACTTAAAAAAGAGCATCACCCAAGGAGGAAGACGTTAAGGAATGCTTTGACCATTCAGGCTTTATGAAAACAAATCAATTATAAACCCAATATTGATCTAGCCCTTGAACATTTGAAAATGAAATTATTTTTAAAAAGTATTAAAAATTAAAAATTCCTAGATCTCTGAGATGTTAAAAAAAAAAAATCTCCAAAGAAGGTAGAGGCAGAATACTTCTTTACTGCTGCCAAGAAAGCAACATGGAAGTGTTCAAGTAGTCTTCAGGAGTTGGGCAAAGGAGTTTACCAGAAAGTAAAATCTATGTGTCCTGGATATGTGGTTAGAAGGAGCAGCTCTCTCCCTGACAATAATATTTTGACCACCAGCCTAAGAAACAGTAAAGGCTTCAGATGTACAGTATATTTATTTGTACCAATAGAAGAGAATATGTGTAGCTCAGGGTTGAACTGTGGAGTCCTTGGGGTCCTCTGAGCTTGGTGGTTTTCTTCCAGACATTTCGTTACCTGACAATGTAACGAAATGGTCATTTGTGTTGTAAGACTGCTATCGTGAAGCCAGTTGTCCATGATGCAGATAGTTTCCTGCTGGTTTCTTTCAGCATAGAAATACTCATTATAAGTCATTCTTTTTATCGAGGGATTTATGTCAGATAAAATAAACATGAAAGGCTTCATGTTAAACAGAAGATTCCTAGGCAGCAAGTGACAATTTAACCCAACCATTTTGGCCTCTTTTCTACCTATTTCTCATCCTTTGTTGCCTTTAAGGGAGATCCATTTTGAGTAAATATATGGAAATAAAAGAACTCATGACCCCGCTCACCTGCCCTATGTCACAAATTTGTGAAACAATGATAATGCAAATGTTATGAATGGATAAAGGTATCAATAAGGCTTAAGACTGCCATCTTGCCTGCCTAGGTCTAAATCAGAGTGAACTCAGTGAATTTACTCATGAGAAGAAGTGGGTGGGTGAGTGAATAGATGTATAGAAGCAGCAGTGTATGATACCTTTTTTCCTCAGATGGTAAGTAAGTAAATGCATGCTTGTACTGTATATTGGACAAAGATTTTAATTTATGACCAGTCTAGTATCAGAGTAACAGAGTAGTTACTAAATAAGTACATTTAAGAGACATGCTTCCAATACTGCAGCAGCAGACTGTTGCATAGAAATAAGGAAAAAAGATTTCATCCAGAGATTGAGCAACAGTCTTTCTGAAGACCTTTGTCTGCATAGCCATGAGTATGTTGATTCGTATACTGCAGTAAGCTTTATTTAAAATTGAGGCTGAACATCCTGGTGTCCCCCAGATATTTTGGGCTTCAGTTCGCATCAGCAAGCAGGGTTTGTGAAATAGTCTGGATGGCACCAGATTGCCTACCCTTGATCTTAATCCACTCCTATTCAAATTCAAAATCAACTGTCTTCATTTGTGACAGTTCGCTTAGTTGAACTGGGAAGCAGGTGTGCCTAACTTAACTATTATTGCACATTTAATAAACTAAACAGTCTTTAAGCAATTCACAATGCTCTCTCTCTCTCTCTCTCTCTCTCTCTCTCTCTCTCTCCCCCTGTGTGTGTGTGTGTGTGTGTGTGTAATGGGGAGAGAAGAGAAACCACAGTCCAGTTAATGACTATAAATTTTAACTCCTCATCAATGTGATAAGAAATTTGATATTGATTAAACAGTCTTGTGATTCAGAAAATGCAAGGACTACGTCATTTAGTGTATTGTTTCCTTTTCTTTCAGGTTACTCAATACTTCAAGCTATTATGGAAACAGCAGGAGAAAAAAGCTGGCAAGTTAGTGCCATATGTGTGGAGAATTTTAACGATGCAAGTTACAGGCAGCTTTTAGAAGACTTGGACCGGAGACAAGAAAAGAAATTCGTAATAGACTGCGAAATAGAGAGGCTTCAGAATCTCTTAGAACAGGTAATACTCGTCTTTGATGCCACCATAAACACATTAGCATTGCCTCAAAAGTGGACTCTCTTCTTGGCCTTTTATTCTTTCTTGTCAGTCAAGAGGATATTTTCCTCATCTTCACTTTTATACATAATCTGCTAATTAGTATCAACCATTGCCTCCATTTGAGTATCAACGTGAAATTCCTATCAAGCAGCATTTGGATTTACCCAGGAAAATTAATAGAGGCAGCATATTCTAGGGCGTAATCAAATATAATGGTGGAAGACCTATTGGCTTAAATTGAGGTGAATATTGGTCACATATAAAGCAGGGACACAATTCTTCAAGGAAAGGAGACTTTAGAGAGAAGAGCTGGACTCCCCCTCCCCTCAAAAACTCTTGATAAATTTCTCTTTCACACACCCACACATTTAACATTTATTAAATGTAGGCTTCTAGATATACGTACACATATCTTAGACTGTCAATAAATTTGAAATGATCTGGTTAAAGGAATGAATCTGCTATTGCCACATCAAGTTTGCTTTTCTTTGAAGGGTAAAATAATAATATGCCAATATTTGCTTCCAATGAAGATAAGTCAGTATCTCTAGTAAATTATATTGCAATAGTAATTTATTTACAGAATAGATTGCCATATCAATAAAGTTTGCAAAATAGTAGTGGGCAGATATACTAATGAAGTCATCTTGCAATATGCAATACAAAATTATTGGATTGTTAAATCAGTCCATATATCCACAGAACTTTTGACCAGTATCTTGTCTATATCAATTTAACTATATCAATTACAGAGCAGACTTGGAATTCTTCTGTAACACAATAAGCAGTTTGTGGTCTTCACTCTTGATAGTCTCACTCCACTCATCCTAATTTTGATAAATTGATTGATTGAACAGCCACATATACCCAATAGTCAGTTGCCTGTCTGTCTAAAACACAATCACGTTTTATGCACCACAGTTAAGTATGCACAAGCAATCTTACTGTTCTCCATTTTTTTGCATGCTAAATTGGCTATTACCTAACTAAACTGCTACTATAATAGAATTCAGTAGTGATCATAGCTCTTTTTTTGCATATGTGTGCGTGTATTTTTCCCCCCATAAGCTGTTATCTTCATTAGAGAGCCAGTTTGGTGTAGTGGTTAAGTCATCAGGCTAGAAACCAGGAGAAGGTGAGTTCCAGGGCTACCTTGGACACAAAGCCAACTGGGTGACCTGGGGGCAATCACTCTCTCTCAGCCCTAGGAAGGAGGCAAGGGCAAGCCACTTCTGAAATCTTGCCAAGAAAACTACAGGGACTTGTCTTGGCAGTCAGCAGGAGTCAACACTGACTCGAAGGCACCA